AGGGTAACATGTGCCCCCCCCCCCCCCCCCCCCAGTGCATTCCCGATCCATCCTACTTCCATCAGCCACTTGTGTTGTGGAAAAATATATGTCTAACAGTGCTGTGGTTTGATAGTGACAGACCTGCAGGATATTCAATTATAGTAATATTGTCCTCTAAACAAACAGCTCTGAATTGAAAATATGCAGACAAAAAAATTACAAATTGATAGTACAGAGCCAAGAAACAGGAAAATATTTCAACACATGGGCAACAAACTGGCAAACTTGACAAACATAAACACCTTCAGCTCGATAACAGTACCACAATACGCCCCTTCTTAACCAATGACACCACCAAGATACTTATTCACTCCCTTGTTATCTCTCACCTGAACTGCAGCAACTCCTTCCTCATTGGCCTACTTCTACATCAGTTACCTCCCTCTTGAGTCTATCACAAATGGTGCTTCCAGACTCATCCACCTCCCCAAACGCTTAATGTCCGCAACCTCTCCTTCCTGCCAATCCTTCCACTGACTTCTCGCCTAATAAACAGGATTCAAAATACTAACAACAACATACAAAGCCATCCACAACTTTGCCCCAGCTACATCACCAACCTTGTCTCAAAATATCATCCAAACCATCCTCTTAACTCCTACTGCTTTCTAGTCCTCTTGTCACCTCCTCCCATGCTTATCTCCAGGACTTCCCCAAAACCTCTCCCACCCTGAAGAACTCAATACCCCGATCTGTCCACTTATCTCCTACTCTATCTGTTTTTAGGCAACCCCTAAAAACTCATCTCTTCAGGGAAGTCCAAACCACCTATACTTTTTCCCTCAACTCATCCCTGCACAGTTACTACCTTTTAAAAAAATTACAAATTGATAGTACAGAGCCAAGAAACAGGAAAATATTTCAACACATGGGCAACAAACACCTTCAGCTCCATAACAGTTCCACAATACGCCCCTTCTTAACCAATGACACCACCAAGATACTTATTCACTCCCTTGTTATCTCTCACCTGAACTGCAGCAACTCCTTCCTCATTGGCCTACTTCTACATCAGTTACCTCCCTCTTGAGTCTATCACAAATGGTGCTTCCAGACTCATCCACCTCACCAAACGCTTAATGTCCGCAACCTCTCCTTCCTGCCAATCCTTCCACTGACTTCTCGCCTAATAAACAGGATTCAAAGTACTAACAACAACATACAAAGCCATCCACAACTTTGCCCCAGCTACATCACCAACCTTGTCTCAAAATATCATCCAAACCATCCTCTTAACTCCTACTGCTTTCTAGTCCTCTTGTCACCTCCTCCCATGCTTATCTCCAGGACTTCCCCAAAACCTCTCCCATCCTGAAGAACTCAATACCCCAATCTGTCCACTTATCTCCTACTCTATCTGTTTTTAGGCAACCCCTAAAAACTCATCTCTTCAGGGAAGTCTAAACCACCTATACTTTTTCCCTCAACTCATCCCTGCACAGTTACTACCTTTTGTATCTCTTACCTTTCCCTTATAGTTTGTAAGATCTCACAAGTAGGGTGCTCCTAACCCTCTTGCCTTATCTTATATTGTAACATACTGTCTCTGTTTATATTGGATAGTGTTGAACAAAATGACTAAATAAAGTACAGTCTAGGAATTTCATGAAAAAACACTGGTGTAAGATTCCCCTTGGCATGTTTACAATGGTGGTTATACAGCTTACATTAAACATATTTTCACAAGCTTACCAAAACCATGTCAGAAAAGACACAATGGTAAAAAAATCAAACAGGTTAGATACATGATGTACAAATAAGTGCTATGGTAAATTAGAGACATTAGCAGATTGTTCTGAACATGAAGAACCTGTACAACATGATTTAATGATATCAGCACACATATTGGTTTTATAATACCATATTATATTATTATATATTATTGGTTTTACAATACCATCTTGTCTTGAATTGTATTGTAACTGTAGTGTCTTCCTTATATTGTAAAGCGCTGCGCAAACTGTTGGCGCTATATAAATACTATGTAATAATAATAATAAGGCCTTCGACTATCACTGGCGCTGTTTGCTCTGTACGCCTGTATTTATTTATTTACTGAGGGGGCGGGTACAGCTGGCTCTGCCTCTAGATAGGCAGAGCCAGCTGTCACTCACGCAGCTGGGCGGATCCAGACATTAATGTCGGGATCTGCTCCGGCTGCGGCATCTCAGTATACCGCAAGCTGCAGCTCACGGTATACTCTGCCTAGGGTGACGGGAGGACGCTAGTTTGTGTCCTCCCGTTACCCTAAGGAGAACTATGGGGAAAAGCCCTGACCCCATAGTTCTCCTTTAAGTGAATTTCCACTTTTCACTGAGCCATGAAGTGGAACTAACCAGCCACATTCATTGTGAGATCTGATTGACCAACAAGACAATTCAAACAATAATCTGTCATATTATTTTCAAATAAAATCTTGACTTGACATCCACTCTCACTGATTCATTTAACTCATTTTTTATTTAGATATGGTTTTCTAAAAAGGTTTGTATCAGACAATGGCCTTCGATTTGCCTCGTATTATCTTAATACGATTTCACTATTTCACTGTTGTTCACTATGGAGTCTATTCACTAAGCTGCTGAAGGATCTAGCCGTAGCTTCGGCCGATCCTTCGGCTAGCTTCGGCCCCAGGACCCCTTTGGTTCAGTAGAACCGAAGAGGTGCTGTACGGGCTTATTCACTATAGCCCGTATAGCTCCCGAACGTTGGCGAGCGGCTCAGTCAAGCCGAACGCATATGCATCGTCTCGGCTGAGCTGCGCTAAAAGCTGAAGCTGGCCGAGCGTCCGGCCTTTGGCGGGCCGACAGCCTGCTTCTGACAGCAGGGGGGCGGAGCCAGCCGTGATCTTACGGCTGGCTCCGGCCACTTGCAGAGAGATCAGTGTCCCTGGTTACCTGCTAACCAGGACACTGATTTCCAAACAGCTAACTCTCCCTGGCGCCCCGGGAGTCTCCCGCTCCCGGCCGCCAGGGAGAGAAACACAGCTGTTTCTTTTTTTTCTTTATTCTGACACGGAGCCGTGTCAGAATAGAAAAGAAAAAAACAAAAACGTTTTTGCCCATAGGAATGCATTGCTAGATTCCTATTGGCTATTTCAATTTGCAATAGCCAATAGTAAACTAGCATTGTACCCGCCCTCTGCTGCAGTTCTCCATGAGGTCCATCAGCAGAGGGCGGGTACAATGCTAGTTTACTATTGCAAATTGAAATAGCCAGTAGGACTCTAGCAATGCATTCAAATGGGCAAAAGCGTTTGTTTTTTTTTTTATTATTCTGACAGGGCTCCGTGTCAGAATAAAGAAAAAAAAAGAAAAATCAGTGTTTCTCTCCTGGGCGGCCAGGAGCGGGAGGCTCCAGAGTGCCCGGGAGATTTTTTTTTTCTTTTTTTTTTTTGACGGCAGTAGAATACTATAGAAAACTATTGGGCGGAGCTAGCTGTCACTGCTAGCTCCGCTCAATCGTTTTCTATTTACTTTTTTAAACTTTTTAAACTATTTTTCTGTTCTGCTCGGTCCCTGTGAGGGACCGAGCAGAACAGCCAAGCCGAATGCCGCTCAGCGGCATTCGGCTATTCACTCACTGCTGTTCGGCATCTATGAGAATAGGCCAAACAGCAGTGAGTAGCCTGCCAGAGGTTCGGCTCAGCCGATCCAGATGTTGGATCGGCTGAGTCGAACTCCTTCTGCACTTCGGGTCGCCGAACATGCTGAGCAT